ATCACTAGTAGGCAATGCATACATGGCAGTGAGGATAGCATCATAGTCAAGAGTATAAATATCCACCCTTAGCCGAAGCAGCTCCACCCAGTCGGGGAGCTCAGCCACGTCGCCAAACTCCGTACGCCAGGCATCGCTCAGACGGGCGAAGCAGCGGGACTCTGCGTGACCACGCGTCCCGCAAGGCTGACCAGTCCGAGCACCAGTGCGAATAACGTACGGACAGCGAGCAGTACCCCGCGACCCGGCACGCTGAGCGTACCACTCACGAAGCTGCTGGGGCGAAAGGACCGCGCGTGGATGACACTAAAGCTGCACCTGGCCACTACGAGCAGCTGCCGAACTACCGACTCCTGGATGACTCCCACTACGACCACCCCGACAACCCCAACTAGCGTACCACTCACGAAGCTGTTGGGGGGTGAGGGACTCACGCGGACGACGCTGCAGCTGCACCTGGCCACTACAAGCAGCTGTGGAACTACTCACTCCAGGACGACTCCCACTACGGCCACCCTGACAACCCCAACTAGTGTACCACGCACGAAGCTGGTGGGGGGTGAGGGACTCACGCGGGCGACGCTGGAGCTGCATCTGGCCACGCCAGGAGCAGCAGTAGCAGTAGAAATATCAGTAGCAGCAAGAGCAGCAGTAACAGCAGTACGGGCAGGGCAGTTCTCACCAGTGGCGAGAAGGGCAGGCGTAAGACGGCGGCAGTTGTAGGGGCGACTGCTCCAGGGGCGGCTACTCCAGGGGCGGCTGCTGCAGGGTCGGCTGTTCCAGGGGCGGCTGCTGCAGGGGTGGCTGCTCCAGGGGTGGCTGCTGTAGTGGCGGCTGCTCCAGGGGCAGCTGCTGCAGGGGTGGCTGCTCCAGGGGCGGCTGCTGCAGTGGTGGCTGCTCCAGGGGAGGCTGCTGCAGGGGCGGCTGCTCCAGGAGCGGCTGCTGCAGTGGCGGCTGCTCCAAGGACGGCTGCTGCAGTGGCGGTTACTCTAGGAGCGGCTGCTACAGTGGCAGCTGCGCCAGGGGCGGCTCGGCTGCTGGGCGGCTCGGCGGCTCGGCTGCTCGCTAGGGACGGCGACGGGGCCGGGTAAGGGCGGCGACGGGGCCGCTAGGGGCGGCGACCGGGCCGCTTAGGGAGGGGAGCGGCGACAGGGCCGCTAGGGGCGGCGACGGGGCCGCTATGGGCAGCGACGGGGCCACGTAGGGGCGGCGATCGGGCCGCGTAGGGAGGGAGGCGGCGACGGGGCGGCTAGGGGCGGCGGCGGGGCCGCGTAGGGGCGGCGACGGGGCCGCGTAGGGGCGACGACAAGGCCACTTAGGGGCGGCGACGGGGCTGTGTAGGGAGGGAGGCGACGACGGGGCCGCTAGGGGCGGCGACGGGGCCGCTATGGACAGCGACGGGGCCGCGTAGGGGCGGCGATCGGGCCGCGTAGGGAGGGAGGCGGCGACGGGGCCGCTAGGGGCGGCGACGGGGCCGCGTAGGGAGGGGAGCGGCGACGGGGCCGCTAGGGGCGGCGACGGGGCCGTGTAGGGGCGGCGACAAGGCCGCTTACGGGCGGCGACGGGGCCGTGTAGGGGCGACGACGGGGCCGCGTAGGGAGGGAGGCGGCGACGGGGCCGCTAGGGGCGGCGACAGGACCGCGTAGGGGCGGCGACGCGGCCGGTAGGGCGGCGACGGGGCCGCTAGGGCCGGCTACCGGGCCGCTAGGGTCGGCAACGGGGCCGGCTGGGCGGCGACGGGGCCGCTAGGGTCGGCTGTGGGGCCGGTAAGGCGGCGACGGGGCCGGTAGGGCGGCGACGAGGCCGGTAGGGCGTCGACGGGGCTGCTACGGGCGGCGAGGTGGCCGCGAAGGGCGGCGACGACGGGGCCGTGAAAGTGGCCGCGAGGGGCCGTGAAAGGGGCCGCTAGGGGCCTGAGGAGGGCACGACGGGCCGCTAAGGGCTAGCGACGTGACGGTAGGGAGGGCACACGGGGCGCGACTCGGGCAGGAGAGAAGTGCGCTCCGGGCAGAAAAAATTTTAGTGGTGGGCCCTTAGGAAGCGTTCACACTAGGGAACCTGCTCTATACCATGTGAGAATCTGAGGAATGAATGCATTGAGCAGCATGAGTACAAGTAGGAAACCCTAAAGTGTTGTACCCCATATTGACTACCCCACTACAGCCTAAGCAGACTATAGCATATAAGTTCGACAGTAATATCTTGTAATAACCTTTTTCAAATCCTACTTCGACAATCATTCTTCGTTATGCTCATGTCCAATCTCCATTTTTCAAGTCAGCACATGGACGAATTCGTGGTACACAGAGGTCAAAACGCACACGCTATTTCGATATTCACAATACTACATTAGAGTTTCGATTATGTCATATGTGTCTTACCGTATTCTCCCGGCTGTATGACCCGCCAGTAAAAGGGTCCACTAACACTCTCTATAGGGGAGTGGGGCTCACACTGTCTTGTGAGGGCCCCCTGTTTTCCCCTTCATCATTATAAGATCCACTTTCTCTATACATGGTAGTTGTAAATGCAGTAACGCGTAGGCTTTTAGAGGCAAAAATCAAGATCTGACACGTTGTTTGTGCCAGATTCGAAATTGTCAGAATGTGTAGTTTGTCTAGCCTGCGTGGGGTACTCTACAGTGAGTACAACCCCTTAGGGTTTCCTATATGTATCCACCTGCTTGCTAGTGAACCTCCTCCTTTGCCTAATTTCTCTTGCCTAGATCGCTAAACCCTAGCTATGGCTCCTGTTATTTTAACATGGTATTAAGAGCTCGTTCGATCCTAACCTGTGGGCCCACCCTAAGCTTCCACTGCTTTCGTGTCTGTCGCGCGCGACGCATTTTTCTTCCCGCCACGTGCCCCGAGCGCGTGGTGGTTTCCTGCCCGCCGCGCGCCCCGGGAACGCGCGGTGGTTTCTTCGCCCGCCGTGGCGCCCCGGGGGCCCGCGCGTCCCCCCCTCCCGTCGCCCGTCGTGGCGTCCAGGGGGCCCGCGCGTCGTCCTTCCTACCGTCGCCCGTCGTCGCGTCCAGGGGGCCCGCGCGTCGCCCCTCCTCTCGTCGCCCGTCGTGGCGCCCCGGGGGCCCGCGCGTCCCCCCCTCCTGTCGCCCGTCGTCGCGTCCCGGGGGCCCGCGTGTCGCCCCTCCTCCCGTCGCCCGTCGAAGCGCCCCGGGGGGCCTGCGCGCCGCCCTTCCCGTCGCCCGCCGCGGCGCCCTGGGGGCCCGCACGTCGCCCCCCTCTCTCTCATCGCCCGTCGAAGCGCCCCGGGGGCTGCGCGCCGCCCTTTTCGTTGCCCGTCGCAGCGCCCTAGGGACCCGTGCGCCACCTGCGCTTAGGGTATCGGGTGGCGGGTGTAGGGGTGGCGGGTGTGTGCGCCGTCCCCTGCTCCTCCTCCTCCTCCGTCTCCCACTGCTGCAGCTGCCGCTGAGGGGGGTGGGTGTGTGGGAGCCGAAGGAGTGGTGCTAGGGGGGTGTCGTGGGAGTGAAGCTAGGGGTGCAGCAAGGGGTGTGTGAACGGGAGTTTTGGGACAAAGGGGGAGGTTGAAGGGGGGTGGCCGCCGTGAAGCTCCAGTCGCCTGTGAGACCGTTGCGCCAGTCGCCCATGAGCCCGTCGCTCCAGTCGCCTGCGAGCCCGTTGCTCCAGTCGCCCGAGAGTCAGTTGCTTCGGCCGCTCGTCTAGCCGCGGAGCCAGTTACTCCAGTTGCCTGTGTGCCAGTTGCTCCAGTTGCCAGTGTGCCAGTTGCTCCAGTTGCGCCGTGTGCCAACAGTCAGCGGACTACCTCCTCTCCTCTCATAGTCCCTCCTCCTCCTCACTAGCCCTCTGTGATAGCCTCTAGCTTTGCTTATATTTGTAAACAATGAGCTGCTGCTTGTTGTGCTGATCATATCCCACTTTGACTATGGGGGTGTGTCAGAATGTGTAGTTTGTCTAGCCTGCAGTGGAGTACTCTATAGTAAGTATGGCCCCTTAGGGTTTCCTATATGTATCCACCTGCTTGCTAGTGAACCTCCTCCTTTGGCTATTCTCTCTTGCCTAGCTAGCTAAACCCTAGCCATGGCTCTTGTTAATTTAACAGAAATTGTCAAATTATAATGTTGTGTAGGCTGTAGTGGGGTAGCCTATATGGGGTACACAATTCTAGGGTTGCACATTTGTATCACTTCCATTCCTTGGTCAATCCATTCTCGTTTCAGTTTTCTCATAAATTTGACACGCCCTATTTTTTTTTGTCAGACACAAAGTCTGACACAATCCTGACGCGTCGTTTGCGCAAATTTTGCACAAAAGATGTGTTTTTTGCTACAAATAAAAAAGCCATCCTCCAGTAAACGAACTATACATGATAAATCCAATAAGATTGATAGACGAATAAGCGAACACACACATGTGTCCTGTAATCAAAGCTCATCATTAACATGACAATGTTGTCTTAAAGACACCCCCTGTCTTCAATTCAACCGCATCTTATATCCGTGCAATCACGATACTATCGAAGAACGATTAAAGTGCAGTGTTCTAGATAGAGGCACGTGCATGCACTGCAGATATTATTCATGCGTCTTTGCCCAGCGGTGTGTTTGAACCTCATGAATTCATATTGCGATTCTTGCTTCACGCATTCTGCACTTGTGGTCTCATTCTGTCTTGAATAAAACACTAACAAAAATGTGCCATATGAAAAGACCTGGGTACTATACAATTTGTTCATTTGTTCAGATCCCCCCCATTTTTTCTAGGGATTTAGCATGACCCTAGGGTCTTATATCCGGGGGAATACGGTATGTCCATTAGAAATCATTAGTGTGCGCTGACTGTTATCACCCGCCCCAAATCTTATGAATGTTGCTCAAAAGGTGCAAAAGTCCCACCTTTCCTCCCCCCTTCACCCTCCCCTCCCCTCACCCCACCCCCCCAAAACACCCACCAACCCACCCGGCACATGTGGCAAGATATATACAAGGATAGACCCCCAAATTTACATCAGTCCAATATGCATCACTATCCTGTGGAACATATCCCAACTCGAGCAGCAGAAGCTTCTGGGGTGCAGACAATTGTCCCGGGAGGCATTTTCTCCAAGCAATCAAAGCCATTCATCTTCCTGTAGCACCCCTTAATGCTGGCAAACCCCTTCACGTCAATCATGGTGCAGCTGTCTCCAGCTGCAACACTGTAGGTGCCCCTTGGGCATGTGCCAGTCTTGTACCGTGTGCTGCTGGAAATGCAAACCTGCATCAAGACAACCATAGTGAAAGGTGAGTGAGTAAGGCTCTGGATATTTTATGCCACAATCGCAGTTAATAGAATTCCTCACCTTGCGCTGCGAGTAGCGTTCCTCTAAATTGGTGGACAAGCAATTGCAGTTGATGCCTGGGTTGAGACGGTAGAACTCCAGTGGGCTCAAAGGTGGATCCACAGCCGTAATCACGGCATCACAACCGCCACACACCTGGACAAGGTACTCCTTATCACACACTGCCACCTCCCTCGCCCTGCTCTCGTCGCGCTCTACGCACACGGCCTGGCCACGTGTGAGCTCTGAGCAGTTGAGCCCAGGGTTGAGCCCCACCACTGCGTCCACGTATGCCTGATCGCCATCTCCGGGGCAGCTGTCACTCAAATTGAACTGCTGAGCGATTTTCACACAGCTTTCCCCCTGCACACATCATACATGTTTACAGTTTTCTCTTGATGTGAAAAAGCAAAGCAGACGGCTTTAATAAAACAAGGAAATAGGTGTCCCATGGTATTGGCACACTCACAAGCTGGACAGTGTAGAAGACCGAGCAGTTGGGTAGAGAGTGGATCGCCTTGACAACAACCTTAGATCCCACTGGGATGGGCTTGATGCAGGAGATCTTCTGCACGCGCGAGGGATGGAAGCGTGGTTGACGGCTTGATAAGAGATACGATGGGCAGTAACGTGGTGGCAGAACAAGAGAAATTCGTGCTGACCTTGTTCTGCTGCTTGAGTTGGTCGAGAGTGAGACCGAACACAGGCAGCAGATGGGAGCACCACACATTGCTGCCAAGGACTGTGTAGCTGCCCTTGTTGTCACCTGCATGCAGCGGAAATCATGAAAATGAGCACGCAGATACAACGAAGTAACAAAGCTTACACATGGCCAGCAAACGTGCTAGGACCAGCCAATTTTATTTGCTTAATAATCATCCTTTCAGACATACTGCCCTCCTCAAGTCCTGGAGAACAGTAGAGCCGCAAAGGAGCGAGAAGCAAAAAGCCAGGGAGGAAAATACAGGCAGAGAGGAGCGTACGAGGAGCACAGGAGAGGGTTCCTTTGACGGTGGTGCCTTGAACAAACCCCGGGGGACACACACAGGAGTAGCTGCCCTTGCCATCGTTCACACACGTGCCCACCACACACGGGTTGCTGCCTGCCAGCCCACAAGCGTCCACTGGCAGTGGCAGGCAGGGCAGATCGAGGAAGGAGGTGTTAGAGTGAGTGATGAATGGGAATGGGCAGGCAGAGGAGTGCGAGGGAGTGTGAGGGTGGGGTGGGCTCACCGTAGGCGCACGTGTTGGAGCCGTCGGGGTGGGAGGCCTGGACGAAGTGGGGAGCAGCACAGGCACAGCGGTTGGATGCTCCGGCCTTGGAGCACTTGAACTGCCCACACGGGTTGAACGCGTTGCTCCCTGCTCCTCCCGGTGAGCCCGCCAGCATCACTGACTTGCTGCCACACGGATCGGCAGTAGCTGCCATGCACACACCATGCACCACATGCAGGTGAGAGAAGCTGCGTAAGGAGAGCCTGTGGTGCAAAATAGTAAGATATGTGAGACCGGTGGCAAGGCGGAACCAGCAACGTGTATGATTGGCTTAAGAGGCATGCATGGTACAAGTAGGAACACATATGCCAGAAACAAGAGTGCACGAGACGAACCATGAACCCACGGCTCGGAACGTACATCGGAGGATAGGCAAGATGCCTGGCAGTGTGTTGATGCCACACACGCCCGGCCCACTCTGCATGTCAATGTACATGTGGCCTACATCCCCCCATCCTGTGCCCCATGAGTTGCGGATCACCCAGAGGGGCCCATCCAGGCTGAAAGGGCTGGACGTGCTGCCGTGCAAAGCATAGCCCACTAGCAGCACTGCGTGGTTCACCCCCTTCTGGAAGCAGCTGGCGTCCGCATACTTGTATGTCTGGATGGTGCACAGGGGAAGCGGAAGGTGTGCACAAGAGGATTTGCTTCAGAATCCACAAAATGTGTGTCGAAACACATACAAAACCACTTCTCTAGGTTGTAATGTCGTCCCCCTCTCCCCCCTTGATGGAATGGTTGTACTCACCCCGTCGTACTCAAATAATTATTGCGCGGAAGCATCTATTCGCACGACCACCGGCTGCCGCTGCACTGCCAGCAGCAGACCCAACCATCCATCAAACGAGGTCTCCTCAAAGCCTTGAATTCCGTAGTACTTAATCTTCTGCAACACAGGCAGGAAATGAGATAGAGAGAGTGTGATACAGGGAGAGTATGAAATGCTGTATCTTGAAAACCAGGTACCAATACGTAGGTGGAGCTTGGGTATTGTGCATGCAGCCACAGGCTGAGTGGGCGCCCTCTATTGCTCCACCCTCATTCAGTTCTTGTCCTGTAGCTTGCAGCCATCCCCACAAGCATGAGAGAGCATGAGTTCCCACCACTCGCTGCAGCTCACCGCGGCCAGTCTCTCCCGCCGGCCGGCGGACGCCATGCTATGGGGACTGGCGGCCGCTGCTGCTGCGTTATCCACGAGCCCCCCTCCCTTGCGCGTGGCAGCCACCAGGAAGGCCAGCACATCGCGCGGAGGCATGTCGTCGCAGTTGGCCGACAGGGCCAGCCGCAGCTGCTCCACCGACAGCCGGGGGGGCTGCGACCCGTTGATGGCGATGCTGTAGGCCGCTTCCACCGCCGCCACCACCGCGTGCGCCGAGGAGTCGGCTGCAGGCCAGAGAGGGGTTGGGCGTGCGAAGAGGGGCGGGCAGGGAAGGGCGTGCAGGGAGGGGCGTGTAGGGAGGGGCGTGAAGGGAGGGGCGTGAAGGGAGGAGTGTGCAGGGAGGAGTGTGCAGGGAGGAGTGTGCAGGGAGGGACATGGTGGGACTGTCAGCGTGGGCTGATGCAATTGTTGGATGGTTGTCACAAGCCAATGCAATCACCATTAGAAGATCAGTCTTATCATGGCCCATCATGAGGACTCTAGTCCACCTACCGACACCCGAATGCCATAAACTTCCAATCCATTCATGTACATGCCATACCGCATCCATGCTGGTTCTTCACTGGCCATGTTGCATCGTTGAGCATCCAAGAAATGAAAGGTGGGAGTTTCCACGAAGGCTCCATGACTGGGCTGTCTGATTGAAAGGCGAGGCTAGCATAGTGGAAGGAGGAGGGCACATTCTCGCCTTCACTACCTGCTGCCCCCTCCTCTGCTGATGCCACGTGGCCGAATGCTTTGCCTGGTTTGTGGTGTTGGATTGCAGAGACGAATGGAGATTGCTAAGGGGAGTGTACGGCCAAAGGCATGCATGGATTGAATAACCCCTTGAGATTGCTAAGGGGGGTGTACGGCCAAAGGCGTGCATAAGTCATGGATGAATTGACATAAGGATTGTGAACATGCGAGCAAAAGCACTGGCTGGTAATGCTTACCAGGGGCTTCATTCAGCTAGTCCGCTACAGGAAGTTTGCCTGCACTTATGAACATGCACACACAAGAACGCATGAACAGACACACAAACACGCGCACACACACACACACAAACACACACACACTCACGTGAACACACACACTCACACACACACACACGCGGACCCGGACACACACACATACATACACACACACAAACACACTCACACACACACACGTGCACACGCACACACACACATATGCACACACACACATGCACACACACACGCACGGACGCACACACACACCCACCCATGCATGCATACACGCACACATGGGCACACGTGGAAGCACAAAGTTAGACCGAATGTGCAGGAAAGAGCAGGAAGCAACCACGCAGCAGCATGACATTTCCAATGCATAGCCGTGATGATGCACATGTCTGATAATGCACATGTGTGATAATGCACATGTCTCATGATGCACATGTCTCATGATGCACATGTCTCATGATGCACATGTCTCATGATGCACTCACCAGTGACAATCTTCCATGAGAGGATGTCATGCCTCTGAGTGTTGTTTGCAGAGGCTGCCAAAAATCCGAAGAGGAAGGAGCCACCACCTACGGTGGGCTTGAGCGCGCTGCACAGAGACACTCTCGCCGTCACCACAGCCTTGGATGGTTGCTGCCTGGAGGCTGAGAGGAAGACTCGGAGAGTGCCACCGCTGGTGGGGTCGTAGTGGATCCAGGCGTGCTTGGTGTGGCCGTCGTTGAGGATGAGAGGGGCCGTGGCAGAGGCGAGGGACACAGGTGAGCCGCCCACATTGACGCCCACGTGGTTGTCGTTGGGGTCGCTGTGCTTCACACTCAGCACCGAGTCAAACTCCACCGCCACACTCCGCTTCCCCACCCCTCCCAGCCCCACCCCCGCTGCAGACCCCTAGGGTGCCGCCGCAGTGACCACAAACGCCAGGCCCTCGCCTGTTGTGCTGCTGCCTGCGCCTGCAGCAGCACTACCAGAGGTAGGAGCAGCAGGTGTCATCCGAAACGAGAATGAGACAGAGAAGGCAATGGGCTGGTCGCAGGGCTGCTTTTTGTTGGTGGAGAGGAAGAGGGCGATGGGTTGCGGTGTGAAGGCCGCCCCCCATGGTGCAGTAGATGGCGTTGAGGTGAGGAAGATGGAGCCGTTGGGAGCAGAGAAGGCCGACTGAAAAATATTCATCGGGTCTTCGTAGGAGGTGAGGCTGGAAGGGATGTATGGTCCTGAAGATAAGAGGGATGCTCACGTTGACATGAGATGGGTAGGAACGATTATGGCGAAGTGAAGTGGCATGGGTGCGTATGGGTGCATGGGTATTGAAGGGGTGCAGGGTGCGTGAGGCTAAAGCAATGGGTTGTGTGGGATGGTGCATGAGAAACGTATGGTGGCAGTGACGGCACGAGGCCGTATCCATACATGGTTAGTAGCAACAGCGGTTATATTAGCCTTTCAGGACCAAAATTGTTGACAAGCAGAGAATAAATAGAAAGCACCTCTGTTAAGAAAAAAAGGGTAGCCTCCTTGCCTTACCTTCCAAGGTGCAGGTGGCGGTAGTTTCACCGGTGTACGTGTAACCATAATCGCAAGCGCAGGTGGGACCAGATGTAAGCCCAGGCAGCAAGAAGCAAAATCCATGGCCGCCACACGGTGGGCTCAAGGGCTCGTTCCCACAGAACCACTTGCACCACCCAGCTTCCCTCTGGACTTGCTGGGTGCCACAGAGGGTGAGGTTGAATGCAAAGCAGTTTGTTTCCAGCAGCAGCCGATATGGGGGGCATGCGGGAGGTGTCTCTGCTACAGACGTGATGAAGTTGCCTCGTGCAGCCACTTCCTTGAGCGCTGCCATGCGCTTCAGTGACGGCAGCTGCCCCACCAGCTGGTTGCCGTCCACAATGCTGCGCCAACGCGCACAGACAGCATGGAGCGAGATATGGAGGGCAGGAGGGGAGCATCAGCGACACACGATGGGAAGGGTATAGTGGAGAGGGGGTGAGGTCAACTGGGGAAGAGGGAGTGTGCGGTGCAGCATGGTGAAGCCATTCCTTTAACAGGACATGAAGGATGCACGGGAGTAGGGAGAAATAGAGGAAAATTGGAGGCTCCCATATAAGAATGCACTCCATGGGCCCGGCGTACAGGTGTGAAAAGGAAGATTGCAGGCACAAGAGCCTGGAAGTAGCACGCCCTCTTGCCATTCAGTCAGCGAGTCCCAAAGGAAGGTGCTGTGTGAGACGAGATTGTGGAGGTGCATGGATAGGGCGTGCTCACAGGTACACGAGGCGAGTCAGTGTGCTGAATGCTGCAGGGATCGATCCCGCGATGAGGTTATTAGACAAGATTCTGAATGGATTGCCAGATCAGGGTTAATGATGGGGATGGGTAATGATGGGACTGCTCCTCCTTTATATGTTTCTTTGGAAGGGTTGACCACACTGACAGAATCATACGTGATTTTCCAATAACCCATTCTCTGTTTATGAGCCTGTCTAGTCTTAAAACCTGGTTACTCGTTCTCTGTTTATGAGTAATGAAAAGCAGACACAACATTGGAGAGCAAACAAGAGCGAGCTTGGGCGCACAGGTTACTGAGTTGGTTGAGGTTGACCAGGGAGGCAGGAATGGTGCCGTACAGCCAGTTTGCATCCAAAAACCTGCAACGTTGTAACATGAGATGGCTCGCATTGGCATGGGATGGGAAAGAAGCCTGTCGTGAGAAACGACCCCAGTGCCATGGTGCTGTCTTTTCCAAGGATCACAAGCGTTCTTCCAACCAACTGTCAGCCCAGCCTGGCCATGGCAGCTTGAGGGTGCTTCTCTTGCTTCTCTGCAGCTGACACTTGGAACTTGTTGAGGAAGAGTCATGCCGACCATGCAAGACTCGCAATTGCTGCAGTGACTAGGCTCGTTTCTTAGGCAGCTTATGATACCCCAAAATATGGTTTCTTACAGTGAATTCAGGCCTGTCAAATCTCTGAATGAGTCGGGAATAGCTCCTAACAGCAAGTTGTATTGGAAGGCGCTGAGAGATTGTGGGTATGGAGCAGGGTAAGGAAAGAAAACAAGAGAGTGAGGTGGAGCAAAGTGAGTAGGACGCAGCATGAGAGCGAAGGTGGTGCAGTAGAGGAAAGGAAGCAGGTACTTGGAAACAAAAGCAGGTAGGGGAATGGGGAGGATAGGTATCGGGGTGGAAGAGCCGAGGCTGCAACTTTTCAAAACACGCCCCCCCCTCACCATGCCAGCTTCTCAAGCCCATACAGTTGCATTCCTCCTATCCTCACTCTCCCTTGCACACCAAACGAAGTAGCAGTCTCTGTGACTCCACCACTCTGCACTGCACTCCAACACACTGTGTGCAATGGAAAAACGGTGGTGGTACGCACATGTGTTTCAAGGTCGTCATGCTACCAATCCAGTCAGGCACCTCCACTCCCAGCTGGTTTTGGCTCATGTCCCTGGCATTTGAACAAAGAGACGATGGCAGAGAACAGGTTGGGCAATGATTGAACACTAGAGAGGTACCGAACCCTGAGTCAATAACTTTCTGAGGGTCCTACCTTGCAGCAATGAGCACAAAAGGTCGCCATGACAGGTGAATGACAGTCACCATTGATGCGCCAGACAGCACCAGTGGCACCATCACAAGTGGCTCATGTCACCCTCAGGACCGCCTTGTATTGACCCCCGAACCAGAATTTCAATCCTTGTGAGCAGCGGATTAGAAGCAGCAGATAGGTGCGTGCGATCAAGACCTTCTCAAGACACGACCCTGACCGGACATTCAACAATCCAACGACCCTCGCCGGACATTCAAAAATCACACGACACGACCCTCACCATAACTCCAGGTGCTGCAGTGAAGACAGCTCTGAGGGCAGCAGACCACTCAACGTGTTCTGAGACATGCTCCTGCATGCGGAGGTCGAATATTCTCTCTGCTTTACGTTGCAATACCATTTTGAACAGCAAGCATAACACATCAAAACACAGGGAACTTCTGTGAAGGGCAAAAATATGTAGTGTGCAGAAGCGATTGAGAGACGACAGTGAGTCACTTCTCTGCTCCAATGAGGTGACGAGGGCACAAGAATCTAGTGGAGTTATCTGGAGGGAACTCTTCTGGTATTGGCATCTCTATCACCTACACTGGCCACACAAGCATTCCCTATACGACCCAACCTCCCCCTCAAGCCCATCAAAGCAACAACATTCCCCCATTACTCTGCGCCTTTCTTGGCTTACCATCACAAGACACGTGATGCAACGGAAATGATTGCAAGACAGGAGTGGTAAGCCATCATTTTTGTCGCATGACTGCCTTACCATCACTCCCAAACCCTCTTCACTCCCCTCCCCCAGTACAGTAGAGCATGGGTGCTCACAAATAGCGCAGATCACGCAGGTTGCCAAGGGTTTCAGGGATGTTTCCCGTGAGGCTGTTGCGACTCACGTCCCTGTGCGGAGGTTATAGGTGTGGGGGACGACAGCGTCATGCAGCTGAGGAGAAAACTAAGGGGACGTGCGGCGGGGTAGGAGACTAAGAGAGCATGTTCTCTTGTTGCGATACAGGTAGTGCGAGCAGGGTCATTCATATGCACACTCCCAGCCAAAAGGATTTGGAGTGAAGTGGATAGTGAAGAGAGGCAGAGAGAGGGATGTCAGCAGCAGAGTATGAAGAATACGAGCACAAGCAAGGAGGCGTGGAGGAACTCAGAGAAGGGCTTGTGAGGGGCCAAGGGGTGCATTAAGGCATGCAAGAACCCAGAAAAGGAGACGACCCATGCCCTTATGCGTGCATTCATGGTGCTTACAGCTCATGGAGACGAGCACAGTGGCCCAGTGATGAGGGGATAGTTCCACTCAGCTTGTTGCCCCCCAAATATCTACGGACCCGGATGCACAAGTGTGGGAGGGTGAGGGAATGGTGAGTGGGCGAATGGGAGAGTGGTTGAAGGGGGGGGAATTGGAGGGAGGTGAAAGATGATGAAGAGGGAGGGGGCATTCAGGAGGTCGAAGTGGGCGAAGGTGAGTGTGATTACGCGAGGAGTTGGAAAAGGGCAAATGACGGATTGGAGATAATCAAGATTTGCCGATGCACTGTTTTGCCTACGAGCTTACAGCAAGTGTTCACGGGCATCTGCTGCGCCAGGAATAACACCCTCGTTGTCACCCAGTGGGTGGGGTTATACCGGAACCAGAGCCTAGAGTCCGGACATCAGCCACTCCACATTCTCAGCACGAGGCGGGAACTGGAATGTGGTTGCCTGACTAATGCCCAGCAAACGGTCCTCACTGGGTGCTGTACGCACACAGGGCGAGTGGCGAGTGAGCCGCGAATAACGGAGCATGGCAAGTTATCTCGCCTCCCCACCCCATCGCCTACTTTTTCCACCCTTTCCCCACGTTTCCTTCTCTCCTCTTTCTCCGTCCCTGTCCCTGTCCTCTCTCTACTCCTCCCCTGCCCCTGCCTCCACACCATCTGGCTTTACCCGCCCTGAGGTATGAACTCACAGCGCCTCTAGGTTTGTGAGATCGCTGAGAAAGTAGGGTATCTCCCCTGTGAACTCGTTGTAATCCAGCATGCTGACACACGGCCGTGGCAGAATGGTGCGGGGACGGAGTTGGGGTGGGTGGGAAGGGGGGGCATACACACATGACACAAGGAACACTTGGGGTTCTGCAGACGGTGAAACGGGGGGGCTGGGGCAGTGGAGATTGCAGTGGAGATTGCAAATGGTGCAAGAGAGACGGCAAGAGCAGAAGACGCACAGATGCTTCAGGCCGCGGATGTTGCTGAGAAACGCAGGGATGGAGCCAGACAAGCTGTTGCGCCCCAAGTACCTGCGCACAGGCAGGCGGGAAGCAGAGGAGGGTGCGGGAATGAAATGCAGCTGCAAATTTTCTCCTGGCACTGGCTTGAGCAGTCAGGGAGCGATCAAACCAAGGGAATGGAAGACGGTGCATATGCACGGCATCAAGAAGTCCACGCAACAGGCAGCGTTAGTGCCTGAGATCACAACCACCACCCTGGCAAGAAGCGTCGGTCGCATGATGTTGGTATGCCACTGCCAGAAGCACCATGGCACTGCCAGTAGCACCATGGCACTGCCAGTAGCACCATGGCACTGCCAGTAGCACCATGGCACTGCCAGTAGCACCATGGCACTGCCAGTAGCACCATGGCACTGCCAGTAGCACCATGGCACTGCCAGTAGCACCATGGCACTGCCAGTAGCACCATGGCACTGCCAGTAGCACCATGGCACTGCCAGTAGCACCATGGCACTGCCAGTAGCACCATGGCACTGCCAGTAGCACCATGGCACTGCCAGTAGCACCATGGCACTGCCAGTAGCACCATGGCACTGCCAGTAGCACCATGCCACTGCCAGTAGCACCATGGCACTGCCAGTAGCACCATGGCACTGCCAGTAGCACCATGGCACTGCCAGTAGCACCATGGCACTGCCAGTAGCACCATGGCACTGCCAGTAGCACCTTGGCACTGCCAGTAGCACCATGGCACTGCCAGTAGCACCATGGCACTGCCAGTAGCACCATGGCACTGCCAGTAGCACCATGGCACTGCCAATAGCACCATGGCACTGCCAGTAGTACCATGGCACTGCCAGTAGCACCATGGCACTGCTAGTAGCACCATGGCACTGCCAGTAGCACCATGGCACTCCCAGTAGCACCATGGCACTGCCAGTAGCACCATGGCACTGCCAGTAGCACCATGGCACTGCCAGTAGCACCATGGCACTGCCAGTAGCACCATGGCACTGCCAGTAGCACCATGGCACTGCCAGTAGCACCATGGCACTGCCAGTAGCACCATGGCACTGCCAGTAGCACCATGGCACTGCCAGTAGCACCATGGCACTGCCAGTAGCACCATGGCACTGCCAGTAGCACCATGGCACTGCCAGTAGCACCATGGCACTGCCAGTAGCACCATGGCACTGCCAGTAGCACCTTGGCACTGCCAGTAGCACCATGGCACTGCCAGTAGCACCATGGCACTGCCAGTAGCACCATGGCACTGCCAGTAGCACCATGGCACTGCCAGTAGCACCATGGCACTGCCAGTAGCACCATGGCACTGCCAGTAGCACCATGGCACTGCCAGTAGCACCATGGCACTGCCAGTAGCACCATGGCACTGCTAGTAGCACCATACCACTGGTCATGCTTCGCCATGCTACCTCCCAATCATGCTCACATGTACTCCAGTGACGTCAGCTTGCTGAGGGAATCCGGAATGGAGTCCCGAAAACTTTTTCCGGTTAATAATCTGCATGGGGGAGTGATGAGAGAGCTGAGAACTAATGCAAATGAACTCAGCAGGTTGCGACTTCACAGCTGACTAGAGTTGCTGACCCGGTACCTCCCCTCCCCCAGCATCTAGTGCAAGTGCGGGCAGCACTTTAGCACAGATATGAGGCACCAGCAGGTGGCTCAGGGCAGGAAAGGAGACTCACAGATATATGAGTGAAGCAAAGCTGCCCAGGGAGGAGGGCAGGGTGCCGCTGATCAAGTTCCCGTCCAGAAGCCTGCAGGGAGTGAAGGTGCACAGGCTTTGGCAATGTATTGCAGGGCAAGGCACGCAGGCGAAAGGCAGGGACGCGCGAGAGTGCAGTGCGCAGGGATGCTGGATGGGCGCAATGTGGTGGGAGGGAAGGGCAGCAAAGAGATTCAGAACAAGCTGCAGCAGTCAGAAATTGGCAGACGCATGTGGGAATGAGATGGTGCAATGACCGAAGGAGACTGACAGGGATTGAAGCGTAGTTGCGTTCCCATTTGTGTCGGGAAGGGTGCCCGAGCGAAAGTTGTCGCTCAGGAGACTGCATGGGTACAGCCGTACAGCACACAGGCATACGCAGCAGGTACGCACGTACAAGTCCATCTGAACAATAGAATCATGGTGAGCATGCTTAAGGCTGACGAATGGTTCCAGAAACAAGGACGAGCAATGTACAAGATTACCCTGGATGGAGAGAAAGGGAAGTTCACGTAAATGTGACTGCATACGTGGACGCGGAGCGTGATGTAGAAGCAGGAGATGGAGCAAGCAGGGCAAGTGAGGCGAGCACGAGTGTCAGTCTCACAGGTGTTGGAGATTGGGCAGGGCGAAGAGAGCAGCGGGCAGGGAGCCAGTGAGCACACTGGACTTGATGGAGCTGCAGGCAGGGGCGCGCGTGGAAGCGAGGGGAGGGCGGGGACGAAAGAGGTCACATGGGAGCTGTAAAACGCCTGTGGGCTGTGTTGAAGGGCGTCCGTTGCTCCTAACACCCTCGTTTTGACCCAGTGGGTAGCGAGGTGTTATACTGGTATCAGAGCCTAGGATTCAAATCCCGGCTGGTCCACGTTTTCTGCATGTAGAGAGAAGTGGAATGTGGTTACCAGACTCGAATCCAAACGGTTCTCCGCTTGCTTGACCCCAGCAGCGCAGTCGCTGCTTGCAGTCCAGCGAAATCCGAGTTCCTGACGGCAGCTCCCTGAAGTTCCGAGCCAAATGCGGACGTTGGAACCAGGGAGGGCACGAGTGTAACGCCATGAAGGGACGTTGCATCCGCTGTTACTAATTAACGCCCTCATTTTGACCCAAGGTGTTGCTTGTAAGCAGCACATTGTGGTAGAATCTGGTACTACCGTAGCACGCCATAGAGGATCATCAAATAAAAGATCTTCAACTACTGTTGCTAGCGGCACCATGATACAACACGAGGCAGAAAAAGAAAATACCAGGCGCGAGCCATTCCATTCGTTACAACTCACCATTCTCGCGCCCACGTGTCACTCCGACCGATGCCTCCCCCAATACCACTTACAGCCATGAGATGTGATCCAGGCCGCTGATGCTCTCCGGAATAGAGGCTGCTATCATGCTGTCCCTCACATCACTGCGAAGCAAGGGACGGCGAGACGGGTAAGAGCAGAGCCAGTAGGATGTATAAGTGCAAATCATCTAGATGAATCATCGCGTATGGAACTCGGCACTAGCTGTGAGATGCACTGGCATCTGCAGTATCATGGTATTCTCTTGCAATGCGTACATGGCCACGACATGCATCGCGAAAGTTGGGTTTCTGGTTTTCCAACCGAAAGCCAGTCGTTGACAACTGGAGGGGTAAAACCAATCGTTAACGCCTCGCAAACCTGTCCAGTTGGCCAGTAGGTTTCGACATCCCAGTTTTCGGGCGGCTCATTTGCGTGTTGCCAGGTATTTCATCGGGATGTTGGTTGACACCAACCAATCACTGAGACACGGGAGGCGAGCCTCCGGCTTGGCTGGGGTTGGGAAATGCCCCAGACGCTAGAGAACCAATCGTTTGATTGGAGGTTCCGAGGTTTTGGGGCTTCGACAATGTGTGACGAAGACATCGTATGGGTGACCTGTTAATGAGACATTCAGGCACATGTACATGTGGCATGTAGAACGGGAATGGATTTCAATTTGATGCTGGTTCTTTAATAGTGGCCATTATTTATTTCAATGTACTTATTGAGTGTGCTATGAACGGTGAGTTACATGTATGCGAAACTTGCGAAGATAATTTACCCCGTGAAGTATAAATGATATGAGTGTAACAATGTTAATTAGATTATCACATTCAGAGATTGGTACATAAAATATGTATATGCTGGACTGTAACCACGTGTTACAGGATTTGTCAAAGGAATTGGCGCGCGAAATGGAAGTGTTAGGACGAGGCACCTCTAGAAGTTTTGCAGTGTCGATTGCACGATCGCTGATTGCACCGTGCTGAATGTCTCTGAAAGCATTCAAAATTCACTACACCATTTATTACTCCGCAAAAAATCGAACCTGCGCAGGTTCGGTCGCAGGTACGGTGATACAAGGGTCAGGTCCTTATCATGTCGGTGGGCTGGGAGGGAGGGTGGCGCGGATTTGCAGGTTGTAGAGAGGCGAGAGAAAATGTACACGTGGCCCGGTTTCCACGCGTGTGCACTATTACACTCGCATCAATTTCGTCGATCCAAATTCGATCAGTCACCGCACTGAAAACCTGCTATTACAGTCTAAAACTTCCTGACCTTTTTAAAACCCTGCTATGTGTTAGGTCGCCTTCCTGCGAACTTCGGACAGGACAGCCCCCCAAAAGTGCACCGCAGTGGTTCCAGCGTGGCAGCGCAAAAAGATTCCCATACCCGCTCACCGACGTCCGGATTCACCCCTCCGCCACCTCATCACAACCGCAGTGGTTTCGCACGTGCCGAGTGCACTTTTCACTGTCGGAACTTCGAACTTCGGACAGCCCAGGATTGCGATCTTAATGATCAATGGACACGATTGTCTCCATTCAGATTTCAGGCAACGCACATTACCCAATCACAGGAATTCGACGGCAGAATGTGTGTGTGAGGTTGACCCAGGATGATGCTGTGGCAATATAGTATGGTGAAGAAATGACACCGTGTCCAGAAATTGACGCTTGGAGTTGCACAGTGACTCCGACAGCACAGAATTACCACCCAATCATACCCAACAGCGAGATTCAAGGCGAGTCATTTTCATTTCATTCTTCCTCAATACCCATCCCGACCTATCTGGAAACTGATTTGGCCGTTGTAGAACGCGAGAAATCCCACTAAGCCGCATTCAAACGAACGAAAAAGTCCCGCCCTCAGAGTAGGTGAAGGTGCATCCCCGATGTTTCTTCTGGTGCATCCCACACGCACCCTTCCCTTTCTCCCATTCACAGATCCAGTTTTTTCGTCATTCAGCTGTTCCATAGCTGTTTCACGCACCTTCCCTTACTCCCTCCACGTCGCCTAACAAAAATAGTTTCACACGCTCAGTCTAGCTGGCGCCGAGTGCACTCTTTCTCTCGACATCATCAATCCGAAATCGCGTGCAGGATATTCTCAGGTAATCAGAAATCCTTAGCATTTTTTTCATGCTTATTTTTTATTTTCCAGATCTGTAGTTTCTGGTGTTTTGCTGCTACCGCACCTAAATTTCGACACCTAGAGCTAAGCCAGCATTGCAGGGAGCAATAATACATCGGTGCTCTGCTTATCTTGCTGAGATGTTCGTTTTTATTTTTCTTTTTTTCCTTTTATGGATAGCTGTGTATATGAGTAAGTGACGGGTTTCGTGCCTTCCAGGCTACAATCACTAACATTTCCTATGGCATTTCGTGTACCTGCAGGTCTGCTGAAGGTGTTTCAGCCGAAGATTGTTGCTTAGGGACTTCTAGATTTAGGCAGTTTGAGGATTGTGCTCTGAGTTTTGTATATCATATACACTTGCATTATATCAGTTTATACAGTTGTCAAGATCCTACTTGGAAGAATGGAAGAAGGGGGGCATTATCGATGTGATGTGAAGGACTACATTGCAAAATTTCCTACTTCGCTGGCAAAGGCATGGCATATGTCGAAGGGAAAGCACAAGTTCAAGGCTCCTGATGCAACTCCAGAGCTGAGAAACGAAAGCAGCCAGGGCGGAGCTGCTGAGGCGCTCCAAGCTACAGCAGAGCGCATTCGCACGAGAACAACTAAACGTACCCGCAGTGAAGCGCAGGCAGAGAGTAGTCGCATGGCAGAGGACGTGGGCGCTGCAGAGATGAACGAGGACCCAACAGGGTATCGCTTCTCCTCCGGTGGTGACACATCGAAGGTGGATCCCGACGCACGCGTATATCGTTTTGTAAGGACGGCTGCAGGAGGTTCTGGACTCTCAAGGGTTGATATCAAGGAGTTGATATCCATCCTCATAGAGGTGTTGAGCAATCCCGGGCGTCTAACCATAAATTCCCTTGCCGCATTTGATGGCTACGAGAAGTTGCAACTCGCCGATGCCAATTTGCACCCTTTCGAGCAGGTTAATCTTGCGAAAGAGGGGGATTTGGAGCCGGTGATAATGTGGCGTCGTTCTGCACTGAACTGCGTGGCAAGCCTATACGAGAACGTGGCGAACGCGGACGGCTTCGTTGTGAAACCACCGCCACCCAACAGAGACCCTGAAGCTAAGCGCATATACAAGGGTCCTGAGACGGGAAGCTGGTGGCGAGAAGTCCTGGCCGAATTGCCACAAGGGGCGTCAGTGGCTGCGGTGATTATATACTCCGACGAAACGACACTCACCATCGATGGAGGACTCAAGGGATGGCCAGTGTACATCTCACTGGCCAACATTGCTTCGGGTAATCGTTGGAAATCG